ATAGTGCTGCTACTCCCTGCAGCTGTACTAGTAACAGTTGATAAACCTACTGTTGAAAAAGTACTGTCTGTTGTGTTGTAAGCTGTTGTGACATCAGTGGAAGTAGTGCCACCATTCATAGTTGTGCCACTATCCATAGTTGTGCCACTATCCATAGTTGTGCCATCCTTCATAGTTGTGCCATCATCCATAGTTGTGGCATTGTCAGCTGTTGTGCTGCCATCTACTGTTGTGATAATAGTTGTAGTTAAAATAGTTGTAGAGATTTCTTGTGTTGTGCCATCCAAGGCTGTTGTGACAGGTTCTGATGTGGTTTCTACATCTGTTGTGACAGATTCTGATGTGGTTTCAACATCTGTTGTGACAGCGTCTGATGTGGTGTCTACATCTGTTGTGACAGATGATGAAGTGGTTTCTACATCTGTTGTGACAGATGATGAAGTGGTTTCTACATCAGTTGTGACAGATGATGAAGTGGTTTCTACATCAGTTGTGACAGATGATGAAGTGGTTTTTACATCTGTCGTAACAGATGATGAAGTGGTTTCTACATCTGTTGTGACAGATTCTGATGTGGTATCTACATCTGTTGTGACAGATTCTGATGTGGTATCTACATCTGTTGTGACAGGTTCTGATGTGGTTTCTACATCTGTTGCGACAGGTTCTGATGTGGTTTCTACATCTGTTGTGACAGGTTCTGATGTGGTATTTACATCTGTTGTGACAGGTTCCGATGTGGTATCTGCATATGTTATGACAGGTTCTAATGTGGTATCTATATCTGTTGTGACAGGTTCTGATGTGGTATCTACATCTGTTGTGACAGGTTCTGATGTCACAGTGGTATCTGCAGTGACAGGTTCTGATGTGGTATCTACATCTGTTGTGACAGATTCTGATGTAGTTTCTACATCTGTTGTGACAGGTTCTAATGTGGTATCTACATCTGTTGTGACAGGTTCTGATGTGGTGTCTGCATCTGTTGTGACAGGTTCTGATGTGGTATCTACATCTGTTGTGACAGGTTCTGATGTGGTATCTACATCTGTTGTGACAGATTCTGATGTGGTATCTACATCTGTTGTGACAGGTTCTGATGTGGTATCTACATCTGTTGTGACAGGATCTGATGTGGTTTTTACATCTGTTGTGACATCTGTTGCTGAATCTGTCAGAACATCACTAGTTTTTGATGCAAGTGTAGTTACATCAGGTGTTTCAGAGTCTGTTGATGTTGGCTGACTTGTCGTCCCTGATGTCGGAGCTGTTTGATTCTGAATGCCTGGTATGACAACAAGAAGCACTGTAAAAGCTGAAATGAAAAATGAAAACTGAGTCAAGTCAAAGAAATAATAATAATAATAATAATAATAATAATAATTAAAAGAGTGATAATTCTGAACTTTAAAATTGATACACATCAAAGTAAAAGATGCTCCCATGTGAAGTGAATTAAATATTCGTTAATTTTTAATTAAAATTTAATTTTTATTTCTGCCTCAGCACCCTCATGCTGCTTTATAGATTAAAAACTAAGGACATACCGTGATTCAATCCATTCAACCAAGCAAGTTAAAAATAGCTAATTAATTTTCCCAGATAATGTCAGATATCTAACTACACACACAGTATGCACTGTGTAGGGTTCTACTGAAAATAAGTTGCTTTTGTAGGCTTCGTAGATTTTGTAGGCTATCCAAGGTATTTCGTGTTACTAATTGCATTGTTTTATTGTTTCTTGTCAATGTTTTCATACCCAATGAACTAAATTGTACAAACTATTATTATTATAATACGGAACAAATAGGCTGAAAAATATCAGTGATGCGACTACATACATAGCATGCATGTACCAAGTGTTATTCCATTTGAGCAAACTATTGTTAGAATCTCAACAAAAAATGATGAATGTAGTTAATTAATTGTATGTAAATTAGCTAATTAAAAGAAGCAGATTATATCCAAAGTACTGTTAATTATTTAACTACACACAGTATGCATACATGTACCAAATTTAACCTATTTGAGCAAACTACTGCAAGAATATCTACATAACCTGATAAAAGTAGTTAATTATTATGCAAATTAGCTAATTAATATGCACAACAAATATGGATATCATGATAAAATAAGTGTATCCAATTACACCCCGCAATTACTCTTGAGATATTTGTGGAAAAAGATTTGACTGTTACATTATCTACAAAATATACATTATTATGCAAATTAGCTAATTAATATGCACAGATTAATAATGTAGTGCTAGACATTCAACCACACAAGCCACAGCTAACAAGCTGTTGTTAGGATATCAACAAAACATGATGAAAGTAGTTATAATTAGTTATTAATTATGCACAGATTTGAAGATCAGTCTGAAGATCATCATAATGTATCTATGTAAAAAAATTGCATTCCAATCCACGCAGTGATATTAGTGGAACAATATCGGACACATCCACACATCTGTACAGACAGACATTGGTATGGAATCTGTGTGTTCTATGCCCAGCAGTCAAAAAGACTCTACTGTGACATATACACTCATGCTACGATGAACAAATCAAGTAAATTAAAGCAAGGGAGTCGTCACCAGCGCATGCGTCAGATGGCCATAGCGTGTCATTGTTTACAAATGAGCGTCTACCATGAGCCTTTGCGGTTTTTAGCGTGTGTTGTTATTGTCACATACTTTGGACTCAATTCCCGCATGTGCGCAGGTGATGACCCTCTCGCTTTAACAATGTATTTAAAATTAGATTTTAACTCTAGGTAACTCATCGAAAAATCACACCAATTGCAGTGAAAATGAATTCCATGATGTCAAAATAAAATAGACTTACCAATAAATATGTTTGTTAAATACATTCTTCTACAAGAGTTGAAAATTCGGGCAGCATATACTGTACATGTAGTCTACTATTAAAAAAAAATTAAAAACAATATTGACAATGTTAGTGAAAGAGTAAAAGTTGACCATGGTACAGAAAAGGTCAGAGTTGACAATGGTGGTGAAAAGGGTCAAAGGTGGCAATGGTACAGAAAAGGTCAGAGTTAACAATGGTTATGAAAGGGTCAAAGTTTACCATGGTACAGAAAAGGTCAGAGTTGACAATGGTGGTGAAAGGGTCAAAATTGACAATGGCAGTGAAAGGGTCAAGGTTGGCAATGGTACAGAAAAAGTCAGAGTTGACAATAAGCAAATAAGACGGGGAAGACGTGTAGTGGTGTGAAGCTAGGCGATTAGGTGCCGTACGCGAGCGCCGGTTCGAGTCACGCACACAGTACGTATTTACTATAATTATACGTAGTCTTTACCTTGCCGTTTATTCGGTGTTATTTGCTTACTTTACTTCCTATGTCGACAGCAACTATGAGTTTAAAATTATTTCTCAGTACTTATTCACTGTTATAATGCTGTACCATTACTTTCACCATCCTACTACAGCCAGATCTGAAGGCCTTTGCCGCATTCTGGCCACGCTATGTGGCGCGGATCGCGTGGACGGGTTTCATGTTCTCTGCACGTAATAAGCTCGGTTATTAAGCATCCTTTTTTGGGGATGCCCGGTGGCCGAGGGGAAGACGTGTAGTGGCGTGAAGCTAGGCCGTACGCGAGCGGCGGTTCGAGTCACGCACGCAGTACGTATTTACTATAATTAGACGTAGTCTTTACCTTGCCGTTTATTCGGTGTTATTTGCTTACTTTACTTCCTATGTCGACAGCAACTATGAGTTTAAAATTATTTCTCAGTACTTATTCAGAGTTGACAATGGTGGTGAAAGGGTTAAAGTTGACCATAGTACAGAAAAGGTCAGAGTTGACAATGATGGTGAAAGGGTCAGAGTTGACAATGGTGGTGAAAGGGTAAAAGTTGACAATGGTGGTGAAAGGGTCAAAGTTGACCATGGTACAGACAAATTCAGAGTTGACAGCGTTCACTCCCTTTTACTAGAGCAGTGTTTGAGTGGGTGGGCAACCAAATACAATTATCCACTCTGACAACAAACAGGGTGGACTCTATGTGAGTGCTGCAAAGACTCTACGGGAAGGCCAAATACACTTGACAAATGACATTTGTGATAACTTTGGTTAAGGTCCACATTTGCTTGGAAAGTGTATTAAATTGCCCTCAAAAAATTGTTGGTGGTCAAGTAAAAAATGTATTAGCCAAGTACAAAATTATTGGTCACCAGAATTTATTAATTAACAAATACATCATGAACTAGATAGAAATGCCATTTAACTCAGATAATATGTAATTCAATCATAAATGACAATTTACGTTCTTGTATTTTACTCATGAAAACATCCTAGACCATTGTAATTTTTTGGTCAATGCTATCTTAATGAGAATGCCATAATCATCTTGGCTCTGATTTGACATCAGCCTCTGACTCTCTGATAAGCTGCATTTTATTTTTAACATCAGATGCAACATCACCTCCTGATTCAATAAAAGGATGAGGTTCATTTCAATCACATTATTATGATTTACACTTTGTGGTTCATCACGCAAACTCAAATTCATCACTCGTTGTTGTTTCATAAAGAAAGAATATAGTCAGTTTAACTTTACAACAAGTTTTTTAAATCACCATTCATTAAATTTAATTGTAATTGAGACCAAAATGGTCACATTCTACAGGAATGGTTACCTAGTGCCAAACATTTTGCAAAATACAGTATACACTATCATGATATTTGCATATAAAAAAAGTTAAGAGACATCTAATGAGTACAATGCTTGTCTGACATCTAATAACAAAATAACTTTAATACTACACTATGTATGCCATGAATCCCATCCGGTATACTACAGTTGACCTACACATCAACCTGAATAACAGTATTGCCTGGCAACCAAAGAGGCACATATCACTGTATGTACACGATTCCACCCAGTATTTTAACTTAACCGTTACAAAGAACACCTACGTCCACCTCGATCCTTCTCTCAGTTTAATTTTCTATTTTTTTTTTTCGTTTTTGAACGTTTATAACAAGGTTACAGTGGTACAATGCAAATAGATGGGTTTAAAATCAATTACCAAGGCAACTACGATTTTTGATTTTTCAACAAAATTGTTATATAATTATACCTTCACTAATTTGAGAACAGGATTATCAGAGGT